ACAGCATTCCCTAGAATCTATACAGCATTCCCATTGTTATACAGCATTCCCTAGAATCTATACAGCATTCCTCTTGCTATACAACATTCCCTAGAATCTATACAGCATTCCCTAGAATCTATACAGCATTCCCTAGAATCTATACAGCATTCCCCTTGCTATACAGCATTCCCTAGAATGCTATACAGCATTCCATCTTGCTATACAACACTCCTAGAATCTATACAGCAATCCTCTTGCTATACAGCATTCCCTAGAATCTATAGCAGCATTCCTCTTGCTATACAACATTCCCTAGAATCTATACAGCATTCCTCTTGCTATACAGCATTCCCTAGAATCTATGCAGCATTCCCCTTGCTGTACACCACTCCCTACAATTTATACAGCATTCCTATTGCTATACAGCATTCCCTAGAATCTATACAGCATTCCTCTTGCTATACAACATTTCCTAGAATCCATACAACATTCATCTTGCTATACAGCATTCTCTAGAATATATACAGCATTCCCATTGCTATACAGTATTCTCTAGAATCTATACAGCATTCCTCTTGCTATACAGCATTCCCTAGAATTTATACAGCATTCCCATTGCTATACAGCATTCCCTAGAATCTATACAGCATTCCCATTGCTATACAGCATTCCCTAGAATCTATACAGCATTCCCCTTGCTTTACAGCATTCCCTAGAATCTATACAGCATACCAATTGCTATACAGCATTCCCTAGAATCTATACAGCATACCAATTGCTATACAGCATTCCCTAGAATCTATACTGCATTCCCATTGCTTTACACCACTCCCTAGAATCTATACAACATTCCTCTTGCTATACAGCATTCCCTAGAATCATACAGCATTCCCATTGCTATACAGCATTCCCTAGAATCTATACAGCATTCCCATTCCTATACAGCATTCCTAGAATCTATACAGCATTCCTCTTGCTATACAACACTCCCTAGAATCTATACAGCATTCCCCTTGCTATACAACATTCCCTAGAATCTATACAGCATTCCCCTTGCTATACAGCATTCCCTAGAATCTATACAGCATTCCCTAGAATCTATATAGCATTCCCTAGAATCTATACAGCATTCC